GCGCCTCCTGTTCCTGGCGATGCTGTGAGGCCCAAGATCTGTGGCAGTGGTTTTTCTCCCTTCAACTTTTTCTCCACATAGAGTCTCATTACTTTGTTGTAGGCTTCCTCCTTCTGAGTATGGTGGCACTCATCAATTATCAGCAGAGTAATATCTGTAGAAAATCCTCAAGTCAGTTCATTTCAGCATAACAGCATAATCAGACATGTTTAAGCTCACTTTGACTCACCTGAGAGCTCGACATGTCTTGCTTCCTCCTTGTTAATCAGAGCGTTGTACAAGATCTGCGCTGTGCAGATGACTACTTGTGACTGCTTCACTACTAACCCAAAAAAGTCCTTTTCCTTATTCTCTCCACTGACTTTCTTAATAATGAAGGTACCACCCAGGTGAGGCTCAAACTCTTTGTTGTAGTGTTGGTCAACAAGATGAACCTGAATTATAGAGCACATCAAAAACATTATATTTAGTCACCTTTAGTCACAGCAGGTGTATAATAGTTTTCATTGTCTTAAAAATTAAATCCCCTCTTTCTATTTTAGGTACCTTGTTTACGAGGACCATCACTTTAGCATTTGGTGTGGTCTCCAGGTGTTTTTTGGCCACATACACTGCAGCGCGGGTCTTTCCACCTCCCGTCGGTAACCATATTATGATGTTCTCTCCTTTAAGAGCCCTTTCAACCACTTCCTTCTGGTAGTTATGCAGTCCAAAATCTGCCATTTCGCAGTGCCCTTTTGTTCAGTAATATTTTTGAGCGGCATAGAATACAAATACTGTAGAAGAGAAATGGACACCCAGTTGTGACTTCAAACTCTTAGCCTTAAAAGTCTGCTGGAGCAAAGCTAGTGACAAAACAAACAGAAAGAAAGTCAGCCTTTTGAACTCACCAGTGACGAAGCTCTGTGTAGTTTTGTCTCCTTTTCAGCCGTCACAAGACAGTTGCAAGCTGGGGATGTTTTCAATTTTGTTTGGACTGCCTGTGTCACGTGGAAACTGGAAAATGAAACTTATCTGAACTCAGAAAGTTGGCCCTCATGAGGGAGTCTCTGGATGAACAGAAGGTGATTACTAAAATATCTACTCTTAACTCGCTCTGCCTATTGTTTTTAGTTTTGCTTTCCTGATGTAACAAACAGCTTGTTAGTGTGGCAAAAAAAAAAGAAGAAAAAAAATCCCCTTGTCTGTTTTAATGTCAGCTCACGTAACTTGATCTCTACCCTCAGGCAAAAGAGCTTCAGCAGTATTTGGTTTCAGTTTCCTTTCATTGTGTTACAGTCAAATTCTTCATCTTTAGAATGTAGTCTAAATGTTTATAGATCTAAACCATAAAAAAAGATTTCAGCTGTTAGTTGACAATGACATTTTCTAAAGACTGAGCTCAAATGAAACATCTAAGTTTGAGATAATCAATGTATGCACAATATCATATTTCTGTAAACTAATTTGTAGCATTACATCTAAGTGCACTTTAAAATGACTACAATGGTTCATGTAAGTTCATCTTTTTGATGACATAAAGTGTGCACGATGGTTAAGGTTCATGTTACAGCAGGAGATAGTTTTATCATTTGCTTCTGGGCTGGACTTGAGAGGAAAGTGAAGAAATCGTTACAACAACATGCAAAGGGGATGATACAATGGCCGTGGTCTGGGTTCATTCAAACGTCCAGCTGCAAAATGATTGATTGATTTTCTTAATGAAAATAGGCTCGCAAACTCCAGTAGATTGCAAAAGAAAACCCTCTTTCCTCCCTTACAGGGGTCTCAATTGTGAGAACGTCATGATGTTAACAAATATTTATTTCTCTTTCAATGTTTTCCTTCCACCCTGAATCTCCAGAGAAAAATACATAGTCACTGTGGATAGGGCAGTAAGACAGTCTTCTTGTACGTTATCCTATTCCTGTGTATTTACATAAGAACAACACAATCCCTAACTATGGATCTATTTGCAGTAGGGCTGCAACAGAAGACTATTTTGGTAGTCGACTAATCTGCCAATTTTTCTTTGATTAGTCAACGAGTATTTCAATAACTCTTATCTTCGCTTCCTGAAGGCAAACCTGTTCTAGGGTACCTTACCTGCTCAGGTGATTAGCTAGCATATCCTGAGAAGTTTCCGACCGGTAAGCTAACATAAACATGAACATAAACATTACTGTATAAGCATTAACATGGAATTACTGTACAAACGTTAACATTAACACAGTCAACGCGACGCACTAGCTCTCTCAAACTGACCCATTCAGAGTTGACGTCACAGCTCCAGGGTGCTTCCTGTAACTGCGGTCAAGTGAGCCCTCACACA